GCAGGAACAGCATCTCATATTTCGCTTGGGAACCCTGCAGCCCAATGGTATCAATGTGGGCTTCACAAGCTTCAAAATCTCCCCTCCCCCTACCGCATCCCAAAACCAGCCCAGCTCGTCCCCGCCTCCCTAATCTCTCCTCCCACCTCAAGACCCATCCCCATCTCCTACCTACTAGACTCATCCCGCCTGCTTGATGTGTCAGTCCTCCCTGGACTGACCTATCCCCTCCCTAACTCCCCACCTACACTCACCTTTTACTGGCTCCAACCCTGCTTCTTTGACCTGTCTGTCTCCTCTCCACCTATCTTCTCCTTTATCCATCTTCTATCCGCCTCCCCCTTTCTCCCTATTTATTTCAGAATCCCCTTCCCCTCCCCCATTTCTGAAGAAGGGTCTAGACCCGAAACGTCAGCTTTCCTGCTCTGTTGCTTGGCCTGCTGTTCGTCCAGCTCTACACCTTGTTATCTCAGATTCTGCAGCATCGGCATTTCCTACTATCTCTGTAACAGATTCCATGGTAGGGTGTGTTTTGTAGACTGAGAGAGTGGACCTGAATGCATGCCTTTTTTTGTTTTTTGTGGGCATCGCTGGCTAGGTCTGCATTTTTTATGTCTCAGAATGGTGTGTTACATCAAGGGCATCTTGCAGGTTGTGCAAGTGCTCGACACTCCTGCTTGCCCATCTAACAGGTAGAAGGGCTCGATTTAGAAGTTGTCAAAGGAGTTTGATAAGTTGCTGCAATTCATTTTGTTGATGGTACATGCTGTGCTGTTGGTGGACAAATGGAAATTTAATGTGATAGAGGGTGCCAAATAAGTGGACTGCTTTGATCTACATGGTATTGAATTTATTGAGTTTTTTGTTGGAATGGCATCAACCGAGCAAGGCAAGAGTATTCCATAATACTCCTGACTTGTCTTCTAGGTCTTGCACAGGCTTTGGGAAGTGGGGAGTGAAGGTCCTCACCACAGAGTTTGCAGTGTCTGAGCTACCGCAGTATTTAGATGGCTGGGCCAGCTCAGTTTCTGGTCAGTGGTAATCCCTAGGGTCATAATGATGGAACCTTCAGCGGTGACTATGGTGTTGAAAGTTACGAGCATAAAACAGTATAGTACGGGAGCAGGCTCTTTGGCCTGTCTGCACCAACCACTGTGCCAATCTAAACTAATCCCATCTGCAGGCATTTGGTCTATATCACTCCGTTCCCTACTTGTTCATGTCTGTCTAAATGCCTCTTAAACATCGCTATCATATCTGCTTCTACCATCTCCCTTGGCAGCACATTCCATGTACCACCACCGTCTGTGGGGGGGTGGGGGAAACATGTCTTGAACATCAGCTATAAACTGATCCCAACCCATTCCCACCACCCCTTACCTTAAATCGATACCCCTAGTATTTGACATTTCCACCCTAGGAAAGAAACTCTATGCACCCTATCCATGTCTCTCATAATTTCACATTTCTACCAGCTCGCCCATCAGCCTCGAACCTGTAGTGAAAGCAATCTAAGTTTGTCTAACCTCTCCTTATAGCTAATACACTCCAATCCTGCCACATCCTGTTAAACCTCTTGCACCCTGTCCAAAGCCTTCACGCCCTTGTAGTGTGGTAACCAGAATTGCGCCCAATACTCCAAATGTAGCCTAACTATAGTCTTCTACAGCTGCAACACGACTTGCCAACATTTTATACTCTGTGTCCCGACCAAGACAAGCATGCCATACGTCGTCTTTACCTCCTTATCCACTTGAGTTTTCACTTTCATTGAGCTATGGGGCTCACACCACGAGATCCCTCTGTTATCAATACTCCTAAAGGTCCTGCCATTTATTGTATACTTTCCTCTTGCATTTGACCTCCTAAAATGCCTTACCTCACAGTTATCTGGATTAAACTCCATCTTCCATTTCTCAGTCCAACTGATCTATATCCTATATCCTATATCCTGTATCCTGTATCCTGTATCCTTTGACAACCTTCCTCACTATCAACAACTCCACCAATTTTCGTGTTGTCTGCAAACTTAGTAATCAGACCACCAACATATCCAAATCATTTTTATATTTGTAAATAATATTACAAACAACAGGGATCTCTGCACCGATCTTTGTGGAACAGCATTGGTCACAGACCTCCAATCAAAAAAAACCTCCAAAATTATGCTCTGTCTTCTATAACCAGACCAGTTTTGTATCCAATTTACCAACTCACTGTGGATCTCATGTGACTTAATCTCCTGGACCAGTTTAACGTACGGGGCCTTGTCAGGTGCTTTAGTAAAGTCTCTGTAGACAACATCCACTATTCCACCCTCTCAATCACTTTTGTCTGTTATTCAAGAAACTTAAGCAAGTTTGAGACAAGACCACCTCCGCACAAAGCCATACTGGCTGTCCCTAATAAGTCCATTCTTTTCCAAAAGTGAGAAAACCCTGTCCCTAAATATCTTTTCCAATAATTTCCCCACCCCAAATGTAATGCTCAACAACCTATAATTTCCTGGATTATCTATGTTGCCTTACTTTATTTAAAGGAACATCATTGGTTATTCTCCAGTCTTCTGGGTCTTCGCCTGACATTAAAGTGGATACAAAGAACTCTGTCAAGGCCCCAGTAATCTCCTCACTTGCCTTCCTCAGTATCCTGGGTCATATCCCATAGGCCCAGGAGTCTAGCTACCCAAATGTTTTTCAAGACACCTAACACTACCTCCTCCTTGACGTGCCCTGGAAGATTATCCCTCCTCAATCTTACTATCATCCCTTCTCAGTGAATACTGATGCATAGTACTCAATAAGGACTTCACCTGCTTCCTCTGGTTCCATGCATAAATTCCTTCCCTTGTCTTTGAGTGGACCTACCTTTTCACCAAGCTACCCTTTTTGCACCTAATATATGTATAAAATAACTTGGGAATTTTCCTTAACCTTACTTGCCAAGGACATGGTCCGTTTTAGCCCTTGTCATTACTTGTTTAAGTTCTTTCCCCAAGGAAAGAACCTATTGCTCAAAGGCCTTGTCTGATTTCAGTTTCCTAACTTTACATGTGTTTCCTTTTTCTTTTTGACTAAACATTCAATATCATTTGTGATCCAGAGTTCCCAAAGCTTGCCACCTTTGCCTTTAATTTCCCAAAGCTTCCATCCTAATTTCCCCTGAAGGGAGGTGGGGGTGGTGTGGTTGGTGGCAGCGGAAAGAGATCTCTTGTTGACAGTAGTTATTCCCTAACACAAATGTAACTAAGAGCCAAGCCTGAATGTTTTCCAGATCTTGCTGCATTGTGCATGGACTGCTTAAGATTGCAAAAAGCTTTCTTTCTTTGCAGACAGAAAATAAACTTGTACAACGCCTGATTCAAGCCAACAAAGCAACAGCCACCCGCTGCTTTACCCTGACCAATCAGCGTGAATCTGCCTGATTTGATTTATTTATTTAGTCAATCAGCATTAACTGTTGCATTCCCCATTGCAATGCTTCTACCGATCAGAATCTAACCGATCCATGTTCTTTACTTGTATGCTATAAATGTTGGTTTCTCCCCTTTATTGGTATTCTTGTGAATCGTCCTAATAATTGCTTCCACAAAATGTTTTTTCAACAATTCCCTTCAATCACGTTTGGTATTATGACCAGACGTCAAGTGAGGTTCCCTAAATTGATGTGGTTCACACAGATACTCCAAATTGTAAACCACCTGGGTGAGAAGGGATGAACTGGCTCGCCTTTGTTATTCACATGTTTCCTTTCAGTTAATCACAAGTTTAATTTTTAAAAGTTCCCTTTGCATACGTTTCCCAGTGAACTAAATGCATTTGTTTTAAAAGGAGTTAATATAACCACCATTTCTTGAATTAGCAAACAGTGTGTTTCTTAATTACTAAACTGGAGCAGTATTACTAACACAACACAGTAGAAATAAGAGAGTCCAAAGAGATAAAAGATTTATTAAAAGATGGATTGGTCTGGTGAATTATTCACCAAGGGCAGTTGGCACTGGTAGTTTTGAAGTTGGCAGTTGAGTAGCCAATTTTGACGTTCTTAGTTTTGCAGATTGGTGAATATTCTGTCCTGATTCCTTTCTGCAGTGTCTGATTCCCAATATTCAGAGAGAATATACTCCTCTTGTTCCCTGCAATGCAGGGGTGTTGAAAATGACTGACTGCTCCAGTAGCCAAGTCATGTTTTCTTCATAACTTGTCGAGGGACAATGCCTAACAGTCACGAATCCAATCACGATAACCTATTGACCTCCTTTTTGAAATGAATTTTGGCGAATGTTTATAATAGCGACAATGGTCAAAACATTAGTTTTCAACCACAAGAACCTGAAACTGAAAGAACATAGTATGTTCGACTTCATTTCAAAACAGTTTGTCAATCAATACAGGGGATAGATAATTTAACATCCAACAACAGAGTTGTTTTCTTTCCAATGTCAGAGTACTCTGTATATTTAATTCACAGAACCAAATATAGGATTTACCAATATGTTTTTGACAATTCGGATTGCATTATCACATTTTCTCCAATGGAAAAGGTACTGCAATCAATCATCGACACTCGGACAATGCTGGTCAACTTATCTTTGCAGGACAGAGCCTTGTTCTCTTACTGCAGTCATTCAGCACATCCTGTGTTGGAATACAGTATCTGATAGTGATGCTTGGAGGTGTCAAACCATTTTGCACTTAACTGTTGCAATGTTACTGGCTTCTCGATAGACTCAGGACAGTGGCCATGTGCATGTTTTTATTCTTTTTGAGCTTCCGATACCGTAGTAGTGTCCACAAACATTGTGTGAAAGGAAATACAATTTTCCTGCAGATCTTGACTTTTTTTTCTATTCATTTCATGGGATGTGGACGTCGCTGGCTGGCCAGCATTTCTTGCCCATCCTTAGTTGCCCTTGAGCAGGTGGTGGTGAGCTGCCACCTTGAACCACTGCATTCCTCCTGCTGTGGGTTGACCCACAATGCTATTAGGGAGGGAATTCCAGGATTTTGACCCAGCAACGGTGAAGGAACGGCGATATATTTCCAAGTCAGGATGGTGAGTGGCTTGGAGGGGGACTTGGAGATGGTAATGTTCCCACATATCTGCTGCCCTTGTCCTTCTCGATGGAACTGTTCGTGGGTTTGGAAGGTGCTATCTGAGGATCTTTGGTGAATTTCTGCAGTGCATCTAGTAGATGGTACACACTGCTGCTACTGAGCATCTGTGGTGGAGGGAGTGAATGTTTGTGGATGTAGTGCCAATCAAGCGGGCTGCTTTGTCCTGGATGACGTCAAGCTTCTTGAGTGTTGTTGGGGCTGTACTCATCCAAGCAAGTGGGGAGTATTCCATCACACTCCTGACTTGTGCCTTGTAGATGGTGGACAGGCTTTGAGGAGTCAGGAGGTAAGTTACTTGCCGCAGTGTTCCCAGCTTCTGGCGTGCTCTTGTAGCCACTGTGTTAATGTGATGAGTCCATTTGAGTTTCTGGTCAATGGTAACCCCCAGGATGTTGATAGTGGGGGATTCAGTGATGGTAACACCATTGAATGTCTCTTGTTGATGATGGCCATAGCCTGGTATTTCTGTGGTGCGAATGTCACATGTCACTTGCCACTTGTCAGCCGACGCCTGGCTATTATCCAGATCTTGTTGCATGTGAACACTGACTGTGTTTCAGTATCTGAGGAGTCACGAATGGTGCTGAACATTGTGCAATCATCAGCGAATATCTCCACTTCTGACCTTTATGATGGAGGGAAGATCATTGATGAAGCAGCTGAAGATGGTTGGGCCTAGGACACTACTGAGGAACTCCTGCAGAGATGCCCGGAAGCTGAGATGATTGACCTCCCACAACCACGACCATCTTCCTATGTGTAAGGTATGACTCCAACCAACGGTGCATTTGCCCCCTGACACCCATTGATTCTAGTTTTGCTAGGGCTCCTTGATGCCACACTCAGTTGAATGCAGCCTTGAAATCAAGGACTGTCGCTCTCACCTCACCTCTGAAATTCAGCTCTTTTGTCCATGTTTGAACCAAGGCTGTAATGAGATCAGGAGCTGAGTGGTCCTGGCGGAACCCAAACTGGGCGTCATTGAGCAGGTTATTTCTGAGCAGCTGCTGCTTGATAGCACTGTTCATGACACCTTCCATCACTTTACTGATGATTGAGAGGAGACTGATGGGGCGGTAATTGGCCGGGTTGTATTTGTCTTGCTTTTTAATTACAGGACATACTTGGGCAATTTTCCACATTGTCAGGTAGATTCCAGTGTTGTAACTGTACTGGAACAGCTTGGCTAAGGAAGCAGCAAGTTCTGGAGCACAAGACTTCAGTACTATTGCCGGAATGTTGTCAGGGCCGGTTGCCTTTGCAGTATCCAGTGCCTCCAGCCTTTTCTTGATATCATGTGGAGTGAATCGAATTGGGTGAAGACTGGTACCTGTAATGCTGGGGACCACTGGAGGAGGCTGAGATGGATCATCCACTCGGCACATCTGACTGAAGATTGCTGCGAAAGCTTCAGACTTGCCTTTTGCACTGATGTGCTGGGCTCTTCTATCATTGAGAAGGGGGCTGTTTGTGGAGCCGCCTCCTCCAGTGAGTTGTTTAATTGTCCTCCACCATTCACGACTGGATGTGGCAGGACTGCAGAGCTTAGATCTGATCCGTTGGTTGTGGGGTCGCTTAGCTATGCCTATCACTTGCTGCTTTTGCTGTTTGGCATGCAAGTAGTCCTGTTTGGTGGCATCACCAGGTTGATACCTCATCCTCCGGTATGCCTGGTGCTGCTCCTGGCATGCCCTCCTGCAATCTTCATTTGAACCAGGGTTGATCCCCTGGCTTGATGATAATAGTTGAGTGGGGGATATGCCGGGCCATGACGTTACAGATTGTGCTGGAGTACAATTCTGCTGCTGTTGATGGCCCACAGTGCCTCATGGATGCCCAGTCTGAAGTTGCTAAATCTGTGCAAAGTCGGTCCCATTTAGCACGGTGATAGTGCCACACAACACGATGGAAGTTGTTCTCAATGTGAAGGCGGGACTTCGTCTCCACAAGGACTGTGTGATGGTCACTCTTACCAATACTGTCATGGACAGATGCAACTGCAGCCGGCAGATTAGTAAGGCTGAGGTCAAGTATGTTTTTTCCTTCTTGGTTCCCTCACCACCTGCCGCAGACCTAGTCTAGCAGCTGTGTCCTTTAGGACCTGACCAGCTTGACTGCTGCTGAGCCACTCTTGGTGGACATTGAAACCCCCCCCACCCAGAGTACATACTTCAGAACTGTGTATGTGGTTTGCAGCCAAAACCTTCTAAATCCCTGAAAAGACTATGTAAAATGGGCTAGTTTCAAGAAGGCAGTGGATAATTGGTTTGCTTTTTTCTTGCAGTCGGAACACTTTCCTTGTCTTGAGAGATGACTGCCAATTCCACTGGAGGACAAAAATCCAGCCTTATAACTGCTCAACTCTCAAAAATCACATGTGCCGCTCACAAACCTCAAAAAAAAAATCTGTTTTGGGTTCAACTAAATTTGGAAGCATTGATTGCTGGATCTTCAGCACTCTATTTCAGGGCTGCTTCTAAGAAGATAATGGGCCTCAAATGTTAATTGAGAGTTTTGATTCGTCTGATGTTTTTCAATATAAGCCATATTCTGATGTGGCTTCTAATTTTGTGCTAGCCCATATTTGTGAGTTTTAAAATAAAGTAGTATCACTATTATCCATGATATGCATTTATTGACATGCTAAATATACACTTTACAGGATTTTGCAATTTTTCAACATCTTGTTTACCACGATTGAAATATTTAATTTGAATACTTTTACAATATCTGTACAAAAAGAATTCAGCCTTCTTTTTTATCTTTTTTTCTCTCTTTTGAAATCCAGAATTAACAAACCTAGAACTGAGAGTTCTGGAGAGTATCACTGCATCTTCATGTTTGACAATTCGCCTTCAGCCAATGCCTCAATTGAAATCAAAGGTAAGCAATATAATCTTGTAGGAAACACTAAATGCTCACCCATTAACCCTGCACTAATTAATACTCCACTGGCTTCCAGTCCACCAATGTCTTAGTTGTATATTCACGTATTTGTTATCAAATCCCTTTGTGGCCTTGCTCTTTCCAATCTCTCCCTCTTCCAGCCCTACAACTGTTGTATACATTTGTGTCCTTCCAATTGTGAGCAAAGCTTTGTATAAAGACACAATAATTCTGATTAATATTCAGTTATTCTGGAAATGCATCCTAACTGATTTGTTTTAGCAATAGATACAGAGCATTGTGCAGTGTGGTGCCTAGGTACATCTTTTGCTCAACAACCTTGAGCACAGAACCCTACATGTTGGACATGAAACCCAAATCAATCATGATGCACTTGTCTATATTAAGATGCATAATTGATTCATTTCCACTGTTTTTGCCCTTTATTTGGAATTTCTGTAAATGTTGGACTTAATTTAAATTTGATGTAAGGTAGACCTTAACTGATCCCCGCACCTTCTTTTTTCATTTCTCCATCTATTTGGAAGCAATATTTTAATGTTATCAAATTGAAAGTGAATGTGAAGTGAGAACTTTTTCAAAAATATTTAAAGGATTTTCTCCCCCCAAACTTGGCTTTCGTACTGAAAAAACTATTTAGTGATTTTTGGGAATTGATCTGTTGTAATAATGATTTGCAGCTAGTAGGTTTTCAACAAACATATCCCTTTATACTGTTTGGTTGGTCATTTGTATACTACAGTGTGACTGGGCTTACATTTGGTCTGTTGCTGTGAATTCTGCTTCAGCTATCTGTAATTATATGGATGAGAGCAACGGAAATAGAGAAATAATATGAAGCAAGGTATTGATCACAAATCTAATCATATAAATGATTCTTAATAACATGTATATCTAAATCTTGAATTTAATTCAGTTTCTTCAAAGTAAATTGGAATTTTCCTCTTAGTTACAAAGGAAGCTAGATCCATTTGAGGGGAAAGACTAGAAGACAACACTGATAAGTTTAGGTGAAAGTAGCCTCATTTGGAACATAAATACTGACATTGACTAGAAAGGGTTGAATGGCCTGCTTTGCGCATTTAATAACAAGTAACTTGTGAGACAGATCTTGCTCTAAGGAGGAAAATATTGGAGTAATACTTCTTAAAATTTATAAAACCTTATCGATGATGATACCAATCAGTTACCAAGAGATTGATGTTCTTCTATGCATGGGTTTAAAAATTGCAGTAATATAGCTTTGAAGCAAATGTGTCCAGACCTTCCTTTTTTGTTTTTTGAATTTTTTTCTTTCCTGTTTGTATTTGGAAGCCCTCAGTGACAGATGGCCATTGCACAATGTGGATAGCTAAGCTGTTGAATCCGCTCTCTGTTGTGCACAAATGAGGAACATAGCTCATCCCTTTTAATCCTTCACTGTTGCTTTAAGTAATTCACTCCTGTGTCAAACTGTGAAACGCTGGTTTCTATTCTTGTTTTTTTAAGCAAAGCAAAATACAAAGCACAAATGCCACATTTCAATCCTTTAAAAGCTGCAGTAGAGTCTCTCAAAGTCCACATCTGGCTTGCATGTTGTGAAATGCTTCCTCCTTTTATTGGAGGATGGGAGAGACACATGTTCTGTGCTTCCTCCTATCAATCAAACCACTAAGTAAGAAATATTGATTTGGACAAGAGCTCTGTGTAAGTGAGGCCAATGTACATTTGAACAGGTATGGTCCTACTTGTTTTTTAACATTTTAAAGACTCGAGTATAGCTGTTTCCATGTTTTGGCTGAACAAAAGTGGGGTGTTCCATCAACTGTGCATTTAACACAGTAAAGAATATTTCATTCTGGTTTGTGTATTATTACTGGTGTCCTGATTAGGTTAATTTTGCAGTTTGTAGTTGCATATTTAGTGATTATTGTATCAATTTAATGATGACATATTTAATTTGGTGGCTTTCATTAAATGTTAGCTCATGACTGCTTCATAATTTAATGGTGTCCTGTTTCTCCATAAATGTAGTAGCCCTCAAACATTGATTCAATGTAACCATGTATTAAAAGAGAGAACTGCAGCCTAATCATTATTGTACGAGTAATCCAGAGATTGTTGAAATCCCATCACAGCTGTTTGTAATTGAATTCATTGAATATGAGCCAGTACCAAGGAGGGGAAAAAAATGCCACGAAAGCCATTGGATTGTCAAAACCTACAAGTTCACAAATGCCCTTCAGGGAAGATAACCAGGCACACCAGAATCCACTCCCACTGATGAAATTAACTGGTGGATGAGCATTAAATTCGAGTGTTACATGCATTCCAAAAACAAAGGCATTAAATGTTGCAGTAAATTAGTGACTCTGTGACAAGGGAGTTAGGAATTTAAAAATTGTTCCTCAGATGTTAGGAAAAATTTCTTTATTTGTGGCTCGTGGAGCACACTAGTGTTGGACGCAATGATTTGAGACAAGAGGTAGTTCAAGATATTTGATAGACACAGATGTAGGGGTCTCTATGGGAAAGTTGGGACAGTGAGATTATTTTTACGTTAAATCAGCAAAAGATCGCATGGCTTTTTTCTCTGTAGTGACGCTGCATTATTTTTTTCCTGGCTTCCCTACTGCAAGCTACATTGTCTATTCTTGACTCCTCCTCCTGTCCCATTTTTCTTTCCAGCGTCCCCATCCACTCCATTGCTTATGCAACATGGTGCTGTTGCCCTAGTGGTGCAAATACTACTGACATGGGTAAAATTCACCAAGATAGATGAGCAGCATTTGATTATAACTGGGAACTTCGTGCATGTTAATGCTAATAATAAATTATTATAATGTTGCAGTGAGGTATCTCAGTTAAAAGTATGAAAATATTGGTTGAAATAATGAAAAAGGATTTGTGGCTAAAGACTGGATTTCATAGCTGATTGAAAAGGCTGTCATCACTGGAACAGAGGTCATAAGCAATGACCAATCAGTAGTTGGCGTTGTTGTGGATGGCTGAGGTGCAAGGCAACAGCTACACTTGAGTCTTTAAATGACATGAATGTAGAATGAGGTTAAAGGCATGCAGAGATTTGAAACCAAGTTGGAGAATGTTGGAGGGAACGTGCTGGTCCACAAGGTATCTGAGGACTGAGTGATAACAATATAGGACTTAATACCGAATGCGATCTTTAAGATTTGAGAGGGTATATGCAAGTAGGACTAGATAAGCTTGCAAGTACTGGGGAGACTAAAACTAGGAGCCATAAACATGAGAAAGTCATTCATAAATCTAATAAGGACTTCAGGGTGAAATTTCATCACCATAATGGCTGGTCGAATAGATAGATTTAAGTGGGAAGCCAAATTAACAAATAGAAATAAACGGGCACACTGGGTGGGATGAAGTAGGATGGTAGGAAAGCATAAGCAGTGACATGAAACTCAGGCCAAATGCTGTATATTCAATGTTTAAGTAAATGAAAATGGGGACTATGGCATTTTGATGAGCTGATAGAAAGAAAAAGCTTTTGCGACCTTGGAGAAATTTGTCAGGTAATGGAAGTATGACTTTGAAGGGAAGAAAGGGATAGACAAATGCATGTCTACAACCTTGACCTAAAGTTGGGTTGAGGCAGACTGAGCAATATGTTGTTCTCAGCACTACTTAATCAATGTATGATTATGGTAGTAACGATTCCTCTGAAACCAGGCTATGTACTTGCTCAACACAATTCTATATTAAGTTGCAGTTCACATCACTGTGTCTTTAAGCCTGGATGTTTCAAACCTATGACTTTTAGAGTCTTTTGGACCAAGTATTAGGGATTTCTCTCTCAATCTGGCAGGGAATCTGAGTTCAGTCAATATTTGTTTTATCTATTTTATAATCTTGCAATTGTAAGATCTCTCAAGAAACAAGCAGTGTTATGTTCGCTGTCTTGCTGTGCTGTTAATTGCAAATAATACGCAAGGAATTTTAGCATATAATCTATTGATATCTTTTTGGCTGTTTGGGTAATATTGAAGAAGCCATAACTGTCCCTGACGGTTAGTCCTGAGAACAGTTGGTACAAGAAAGAAAGCTGAACCATGACAGCATTTAATTATTGATTTTAAAATGGTGTATGCATGTTAATGCTTCACTTGCTTGTTCATGGGAGGGAAACATTAAAAAAAACTAGTAAATTTAATTAATCAGTTTAAGTAAAGCTACACCAAATCGAATTAGTATAATTTGAATTGTGGAACTTGCAATTAGTCATAGAATCGTGGAGATCTGCACAGGAAAAGGCCCATTGGTACATCATATCCGCACTGGTCAAAATAGCCGTCTAACTATTCTAATCCCAGCGCTTGGCCCCTACCCTTTTGTATGTTTTGGCATTGCAAGTGATACTGTCCTGTTCAGAACTATGTTTGACAATGGAGATACTCATCATTTATTGATCTGAAATGTTGTTCCTGTAACAAGGAATCGTGCTGGTGGGTAGGAGGGAGCAGTGCATCAGACAGTAGAGGAGCCAATCCATTAGAAAAACTGAGAAATAAAAATACTCCGTATCAAGGTGAAGACGTAAGCTGATGTTAAGCCGACATGTTGCTTTGTTCCGTTTTCTAAAGATGGAAAATAACATTTCTCTCGCTGTTCACTGAGTGACACATTCCAAATTATGTTCACCCACTTTCTTTCTTCTTGACTTGACTTGACTTGACTTGCTTAACATGTAACTGAGTCTGACTGTCAACTTGGAAGAAAAGGTCACATTTCCCCTGAGATTCTCCGTTACACAGACAAGTGGCTGAAGTGCATGTTTAATCTGCAAATGTGACAAGATTGCAAACTAATGCTTTTTGAGGGCTGCTGAGAAGTCGGCAGTTACTATGAAATTACGCCATTATTTGGTGTTAAGTTTTTCTTCTACTTTGTTTTTCCTTTCTTTCTCTACATTTCTCTTTAATGTTAACCTCTTCCATTGTAAATGTCTTAATTATCTCTGGTTTCTGTTCCAGCACTTCCTGAAGTTGTTGGTCATAAGAGGAGTGAGAATAAGAATGAGGGTCAAAGTGCTCTCATGTATTGCAAGTCTGTAGGCTATCCACACCCTGTTTGGACCTGGCACAAGAAGGTGGACAATGAATTTATGGTAAGCTCACTATGTTAAAATTCACTAATATTAGAGGTTTTACTGTTTTCTTTCTTGAATTCAAAGCCTTTGCTTTGTGATGGTGTGATCTGACTTCTCATTTCTCATAAAAGTCATAATAAAACTTTTCTATTTTGTTACTGTGATGCCAAATAGCCAAGTGTTTGGAAAGTGAGGGAGAAGTCCGTGCTTGCATTTCATGTGTAAAAGTGAATGCCTTTGCAGCATAAAGGGGAGAAACCGCTAGATGTTAAATTGTAAATAGATTAAGGATAGAAACAGTCATGGGTCCTCTTTTTTTAGGTTTAAGTGGATGCCTTGGAAAATGTACTTTAGCTTTGTGTGCATCGCTATTTAACATTCTAATAATAAGTTCAGTAATAGAGATCACCGAATCCCTACAGTATGGAAGCAGGCCATTCGGCCCATCGAGGCCACACCAGCCCTCTGAAGAGTATCGCACACAGACCCAACACCCCCCATGCCCACCCTTTCCCTGTAACCCTCCATATCCTGTTGCTAAGCCACCTTGCCTGCACATTTATGGATGCTGTGGGTAATTTTAGCATGGCCAACCCACCCAACCTCCACATCCTTGGATTGTGGGAGGAAACCAGAGCACCCAAAAGAAATCCCAGCAAACATGTAGAAAAAGTGCACACTCCACACAGACAGTCGCCCAAGGGTGGCATCAAACCTGGCCCCCGGTGCTGTGAGTCAGCAACGCTAACCACCGAGTCATCATGCTGCTGCAAAATAGGTATAAATACATAACTGAAAGTAATCAAATGATTGATTTAGTTTTGCAGTAAACCAACATAAAACCATTTTAAGATCGGAAAGCTGAAAGGACCTTGAGAGTGTCATGGAGGTATTATGGCACGTAAGGAAGTCATTCAACTCATTGAGTTTATATACATGGGTATTTGTCAATGGGAGTATACAGGAGATGCATGCAGCCACATATGACTGATCGGTATTCAGGATTCGCAAAGACAGCTGTTCTTTAGGGCAGAGATTGGGAAGTCATATCTCCGATCTGAAGGCAGCAATTGTGATTGGCTACGAGGCCTTTTTGCCTGTTGTCTAAACATAAATGGCTTTCCTTTATTCTTCTGCTCTTCTCCATTTCATATCTTTTTCAACAAGGTGATTGTAATAAATGTTGATGAACTTTCCTAGCCTACAGTGGTGCTGAATTGTAGTTTGCAGGCCATGCACAGGTGGATGAATTCTTTCTACAATTTGCTAGAACTGATTTTATTTAACATGCAAAACTCAAAGCAAAAAAACAGTACGATTTTGTCAACTTTAATTTCATTTCTCATCCTGCATGGTAGGAACTAAATAATGCCAGTGGTCGCTATTTCATCACAAACAAAGGCAACTACACAGAGCTGATTATTGAGAACCTGCACATTCAGGATGACCCAGGCGAATACTTGTGTAACGCTTCAAATTACATTGGACACACCTCTGTTGTCACTATTCTGCGAGTCCGTAGCCATCTGGCACCACTGTGGCCCTTCCTAGGGGTTGTTGCAGAAATCTTAATTCTGGTCATCATCATTGTCATATATGAGAAACGAAAGAGACCAGATGAAGTCCCTGACGGTAGGTCCCTTTCTTCAAATACAGTTTTGCTTTGTTATTGCATACTTAACCCATTTGATACTAACATAATCTAACATGTGTTTTAAATACTTTTCATGGTAGTCACTAGTATTAAATGGGTTAATTAAAGAACAGAAGTATATAATCCATTTGTAATTTTAAAAGGTTATTCCTTTCTTTAACATTTATTTTTCAGTTTAATGACTATGCTGTGCTCGAGCAAGTCAGCAACCTCACCCACAACCTGAGCTACAAATCTTTGCTAAAACCATAAATGGTCACCATTTGTTTTCCAGACCTTTTTCAGAAATGTGGGTCTTTGGTTTAAGGAAGATTCTGTGTAGTTCCTCAATACATTTATTTATATGAATGAGTCATTAGTCATATTCCATTATTAAATATTATAATCTGGAGTACTGGAATTTCGAATATTAAACAACCTGATCACTGCAGAGTCAGTCTCAACTGATCTGAAAAACTAATCCAAATATTTCACACGGTCGTTTTCAAATATGCCTTGAAAATATGGTCATGCTAGATGGCATTTGATGCTTTTTTTTCTCCCGAGCCAAGGTTTGTTATTTAAGACCCATTTCCTCCTCTGCCTACCATACCTCTCCCTCTGTTTGATGATGTTCCTGTAAAGTATCTTGGGATGCTTTTCCAAGTTAAAGGAACTATATAAATACTTTTGTTTCTGTCTGATTCACTTGTACCTTTCTGATGCTCTTTTCATACTTTCTTCTTTTTTAAGGTGTAGAGGTGTCTGTTGCATTGTAATTTACCTACTCAAGAAAGCAAAAACTGAAACGTTCAATGAGGCAAATACATTTGGTGATTTTGTTTCATGGAATATTCACTGACTATTTTGCTAATTATTGATACTGTAAATCTCACTCAGGACATCACATGATTCCAGTCATACTCTTGAGCATTGCACTTTTAAGATTCGGAATGATTGCTGCATCTAGATAATGCTGATGACAATATTTTGCATTGCTAGTACAGTAACATACAGGATAGAAGGCAGCATTGCATCTTCATATCATTGAGCGATTTATTGCTCATTGTCTTGTTCAGCTGTTTAGTGCAAAATGTGACACGGAGGTAAATGTTATTATGGATCGCTGCTTTGTTCCTGTCAGTACAGAACATTGGGGTCTCAATTTTGGCTTTATCTTCATGAGGGTTCAATCTTAAAGTCTAAGTATAGTAAACAATAAAAGTACTGAAGATGCCAGCTGTAAAAAGGCAACTTGAAGACATGGGGCAAGAATAGAAAATCTGCCTTGGGGCAATTAAATCTAAAGGAAAAGACTGATTTAAAAATTACTGGTGTACAAATGATATTTTAGTTATGTGCTATACTCGGACTGTTTGCTTTCTGTTATTAGGTCATGGCATAGAGCTGTGGAAACAAACCCTTTGGTCTAGTTCATCCATGCTGACCAGACATCCTAAATTAATCTAGTCCCATTTGCCAGCATTTGGCCCATATCCCTCTCAACCCTTCCTATTCATATACCAATCCAAATTCCTTTTAAATGTTGTAATTGTACCAAACTTCACCACTTCCTCTAGCATCTCGTGCCATACATGCACCACCCTCAGTATGAAAAAATTGCCCCTTAGGTCCCTTTTTTAAATCTTGCCCCCCTCACCTTTATACCTAAGCCCTCTAGTTTTGGACCCCGCCCTGGGGAAAAGACCGTGGCGATTCACCCTATCCATGCCCTTCATGATTTTATAAACCTCTAAGTTCACTCGTCAGCCTCTGATGCTCCAGAGAAAATAGCCCCAGTCTATCCAGCCTCTACCTGTAGCTGAAACCCTCCAACCCTGACAACATCCTTTGTAAATCTTTTCTGGACCCTTTTCAAGTTTCACAACATCCTTCCTATAGCAGGATGACCAAATTGAACGTAGTATTCCAAAAGTGGCCTAATCAGTGTCCTGTACAGCTGCAACATGACATCCCAACTTCTGTGCTCAACGCACTGACCAATAAAGTCAATCATACCAAACGCAGCCTTCACTATCCTGTCTACATGGGACTTCACTTTCAAGGAGCTATGAATCTGCACTCCACAGTCTTTGTTCAGCAACTCTCCCCAGGACCTTACCATTAAGTGTATAAAGCCTGATTAGCCTTTACAAAATTCAGCACCTCACATTTATCTAAATTAAACTCCATCTGCCACTCCTCGGCCCATGGGATCAAGATCCCATTGAACTTGGAGGTAACCTTCTTAGCTGTCCACTACACCTCCAATTTTGGTGTCATCTGCAAACTTACTAACCAGACCTCAAGTGTTTGGTTAAAGCTGGTCCTTTGTAGCATCAAATATTAATCCCTTGGAAAATATGTTAATCTTGTTCAAGGAAATACTGTCCAATAGAATTTTTGAATCTAGATTTTGTATAAACAAGAGGGTTAATGTGAAACGTGTGGAAAGTTTGTCTAAATTCACAGGACATTTTAATTCAGTCTGTTTTTCTGTTTCTTAATAAATTGATGTAATATAAATCCTTGAATCTCGACAAAATCTTGTTGTGGTAATGAGAATTAACTTTGCATGCATATTTTCTTGAATTTTGGAGAAACCTATAAATGGGCATATTTTGCAATGTTTGGCTAAAATTATGATGTCCAGTTAATTGGGCAAAGGATATGCAACTGGTGTGCAACCTTACTATTTTGTCATTTTGTGTGTTTATGGTAAAACAAACAGCATTACTTAAAAAACAAAGTAATATTAATTGAACTAAACAATGAATGAACCAGTTGTATGTCCATTTTAGGAATTTTTGTTTTAACAATTCATGTATAAATTAAATTAGTGGCAGACTTGGATAAGAATCAAGTACAGCAAAGGTATGTGGCAGGAGGAGACTAATGAGTTCGAACTTTGAGCTGTGGAAAGATGGGAATGAAAGAAGTGATTTAGGATTGAATTACATTTTCTGGGATTGAATAAAACCATGAGATATAAGGGCAGAATTAGGCCATTCAACTCCATTGAGTCTGGTCTGTCATTCAGTCGTTGTTGATTTGTTTCTCAACACCATTCTCTTGCCTTCTCCCTGTGACCTTTGATCCCCTTATCAATCAAGAACCTATCTATCTCTGTCTTAAATTAATGACTTGGCCACCCCAGCCCTCGGCTGCAATAAGTTCCATGTATTAACCACCATCTGGCTGAAGAAATTTCTCCTCGTCTCGGTTCTAAAGGTTGTCCCTTCGCTCTGAAGCTGCACCCTCTGGTTCTAGTGTCTGCTACGTCAACACTATCCAGACCCCTCGGTATTCGGTAAGTTTCAATCAGATTCCCTCCTTGTCCTTCCAAACTACGTCAAGTACAGTGTCCTCAACTGCTCCTCATATAGCAAGCTCTTCATCCCCAGGATCATTCTTGTAAACCTCCTCTGGACCCCCTCCAATACAACCACATCCTTGCTTAGATACAAGACCCAAAACTGCTCACAATATTCCAAATCTGGTCTGATCAGAGCCTTTTACAGCCTCAGCAGTACGGCTCTGCTGTGTATTCTCACCCTTTTGAAATGTATGCTAGCATTGCATTCGCCTTGCTCACTGTCATCTGAACCTGTGTAAATCTAGACAATCCTGAACTAGGACTCTCACGTTCCTTTGTGCTTGTGATTTCTGAAGCCTTTCCCTGTTTAGCAAATAATCTACACTTCTATTCTTACTAAAGTGCATAACCTCTCAATTTCCTGCATTGTATTCCATCTGCCTTTCTTTGCCCGCTCCTAGCCTGTTGGTGTCCTTCTGCAGCCTGCCACTTCCTCAGCACCACGTGTCCATCCATGTATCTTTTGTGTCATCTGCAAACTTAGCAACAGTGCCCTTAGTTCCTCCATCTAAATTGCTAATGGACAACCTAAATAGCTGTAGTCCCAACATGGACCCTGGCAGTCAAAGGTTGCCACCATGAAAAAGACCCCTTTATCCCTACTTTCTGCCAGTCAGCCAACCCTCTATACATGCCAGTACCTTGCCCCTGATACCATGGACTTTCATCTTATTTAGCGGCCTCCTATGTAGCACTTTGTCAAAGGCCTTCTGGAAATCCAAATAGATTATATCCACTCGCTCTCCTTTGTCCAGCTTTCTTATTACCTCCTCAAAGAG